CATTCTGGTCTAGGGGGGGTTCAGCACATTCTGGTCTAAGCGGGGGGTTCAGCACATTCTGGTCTAAGGGGGGGTTCAGCGCATTCTGGTCTAGGGGGGATTCAGCACATTCTGGTCTAAGGGGGGGTTCAGGACATTCTGGTTGGGGGGGGTTCAGCACATTCTGGTCTAAGGGGGGGTTCAGGACATTCTGGTCTAGGGGGGGTTCAGCACATTCTGGTCTAAGGGGGGGTTCAGGACATTCTGGTCTGGGGGCTGTTCAGCACATTCTGGTCTAAGGGGGGGTTCAGGACATTCTGGTCTGGGGGGGGTTCAGGACATTCTGGTCTATTGGGAGGCTCGGGACCTTCTGGGGGGCCTCCCTGTTTGGTTACCAGGTTCTTTCTGGTCAGCAGAGCTGGGGTTGATGGTTGTTCTGTAGGCCTGATTTTCAAACTGGTTACAATAAAGTATTAGAACAGAATGAGTGGAATAGACTGCTTTGACCTTCTAACCACCTCCTTTATACGCCGGCCTTTCCAGGAATATTACGCTCACATTATTTGTTTACTTAGCAGAAAAATTCTCACTAACTGCAGAACATCAAATCCTTTTATCTGATTGGTCGCTTTCAGCAATCTTTGTGTTGCAGGTTCGACACCTACCGCAGTAAGCAGGAGAGCCGCCGCCTTGCAAAGTTCATCGATGACGTGGAGGCGGGTCTCATCCTGTCTTTGATGATCAATGATGAAGGTTCAAATCATCTGGAAGAATCAGCCAAGTCGAGCTTATCCAGGCTAGGCAGCCGCTTCATCAGCAAGCTGGGATTTCGGTAGGATCTTTGAAATGATGTGTTAGACAACATTTCATTCTTTTTCTATACAGCTGTTTGTATTTGACATTATTTCTGTGTCTGCATTTACATCTGATTCTGGATCCCAGAACTTACTGGATTTAAGAAATTAGTTTCACTTTATGGCCTAAGTTTGTTCCATATAAGTGGAATTGCTCTTTTGTTTCACATCATAAATCAACATCAGTTCAAACCAGTAGTGCAATATTTATCCTACCCTATAGGCAGATAAATGATTAACAATAAACAAACTGTTTTCTGTTGAAAAAGTCCAGGCCCTGCATGGAGTCCCTGGTGCTGCTGATGGCCTGGCTCTGTTCCAGCAGACTGCCTTAACCTAGTTAAATTAGAGACGGATAACCTAACCCAGTCCACCTGGTCAGATCAGTAATGTTTAGGAAATTTGGTTTCAGAAAAAGAGGAAATAATAATGTACCTCAACTAGCTTAGAGGGTCAGCTGGGGGTCTGTGGGTTCCCACAGCCTTTAGAGAGAAGCTGTCAGTCACAGCAGAGGAGTAGAGACTAAAAAAGAAAACAGCTCTGGTCTGCTGTAATGTAAGATCTGCTCCTAAAGGAGCAGGTAAGTCAAAAACATTACATTATGCTAGCATAGCCTATCCACCAGCAGTAGCCTCAAACATGCTAAAATGTCAGAACTTAGCTTATTTGAAGCCTTTATTAACTCCACCAATAAATGACGAGCTATGAGTTTAAAAGTTGTTGGATTATATCAATTAATTGAAAACCGAGGCAAAGTTATTAGTTTTCTTATTTTAGAGACTAGTTTACTGTTTGCTACTGCCTTATATGACAAACCTCACTTATCTTCTTCCAAATGATATTTCATGTCCAATAGTTTTAAATTATATTTAATTCAATCAGTCGGAGAAAAGTGCAATTCTGTTTATGAAGGTTAATTGGGGCTTAATTGGGCTTAAAAAGAACCTGCTTAGTTGACATCTGCAGCAGCCTGGCCTGCATAGCAATAACTCCTCTGTGTCACACTGTGGTCACCTTATGTCATATTCACTGATAATTCTATTCAGTTTATTTCTATAGGTCCAATTCACATCATGTCATCCCAGGTCACTATATAGAGACGATTCAACCAGATCATCCAGTCAGATTGATTGAAAGTTTTCTATCTAAGGAAAACCAGCTGATTGCAACGACTCATTGACTCTGCAGGATTCTCTCCTCCTGGATCAGCAGGTAGAGAATCCAATGTGAAAGAAGCTCGGATAGGAGAGATATGATCTATTTTTCCTTTTCAGCAGAACTCTGGCTGCAGTTTAGCTCTGGAGAAAATTCCAAGAGTCACTCCTAACATATACCTGCTAAATGTATTTATTTGCTATTTAAATTTGCTTCATTCAGGGGATATTTCCTGCTTGTTCTTTAGATAACATCCAAAGGACTGACATTACAGATTCATTCACACCTTTGTTTGAACTCATGTTGCTTCTGACAAATTTTCTGCAAACCTTCAGGCTGAGATGATGTGTTTTGGAAGCAGAGGCTTTGCGGTTCCTTCAGGAACCATTAGGGTGTAACAAACATAATGCAGGGAAGATTAAGAGGGTTGAGAAACTGATTGAGGGACAGCCCTGGGTTACTATTACTTTCCCTGTCATGATGAAGACAAAATAAATGGATGGGGAAAATTATGTGGTCACTGCGGGATTCTGGGTAAATGACTCTTGCCGCCTGTCTTTTCACACTGGTGCCAAATAGGGCGGGTCTGGTGGAGTGGGATTCCAGAAGAGCCACAGAAACATTTTAATTTGTTGGTATTTCTCTGACTGGTGGATGTGTGCTAGTGGTTTCCAAACGTGCAGCCAGTGTTTGGGAAGCTGCAGGCCAGCATTAGCTCACCTTGCATCCTGGTCGATCCCCATCTCTACATGCATGTATCTGACAGCCGAATACATCCATGTTTGGAACTTACTCCTTTTCTTACGGTTTTTATAGAACTGATGCCGTTTATTCATTCGAATCTGAACAGGAAGACAGAGAAAAGCAATGAAACAGGCCTGGAATTTAGCTCAGAAAGCAGCTCTCTCCTCTATCACTGACATCCACAGCTCCTGTTTCTGCTGTACATTGCTTTTCCTCCTCTTACTAGCAAATCACGGTAAATTCTTTTCAGAACAGTCAGATGTTGGCAGCTGCTACTAGTTTATGATTCCTGAAAGGTAAAACAGAAATGAGGTTTTCTTTTTCCGTATCTCTGCTTTCATTTGTTTGCAGTCAGAGTGATCAGGGTTAGGATCTGACCTGCAGACATGCGCAGATCTCAGACAGCTACGTTCCTGACTGGACTGGACAGTCGTATCCAAACAGACCAGGGTTTATTTGTCAAGGTTCTGAACAGTCTATTTAAAAACAGACTAGACAGTGTGATTGAAAAACATCAATGACCGCACAGTCAGTATGGCTTCCAAAATACCATGCATGAATTGAATTTATTGAGGAAATTAGAAACTGTAGATAAAACGAGATCTGCTGGTGGTCGTTGATGCCACAACAGCTTTTGATACTAAAAATCACAGTATATATAATCATTTTGATAATTTGTGTCAGGGGGGGGGACTTGTGAAGATTAGACACATAGATTGTGGATGTGTGGACATAGTGTGTGTGGTGTGTCCTCAGGGAAACAGTGAACATTCATTCATATATGCAGCATCCAAACAAGGAAGAGGTTTTATTTTTACTTTTTATTTAGTATTTTTCAGGTTTGAATAGAAAAGAAAAAGGCAACAAACATACAATAAAGGGGTAACAGAGTCATTGTTTTGGGGGGGGTGGGGGTCGCGCAGGTCTTTTTATATAGTTTAGTCTGGTGTTTAAGTCTTTCTGAGGGTAAGTCCTTACTGCTTTGTGTAATTAAGCCATTTTCTCCAGCGTTGTTTCTGGTGTTTGGATTTGATCCTCAGGCGGTAGATCATTTTCAGCATAGTGCAGATTTCCACTGCATCAGGTGTGAAGGGCTCACTTTTTAACCACTTTCTGCTAACCACCTTTTTGGCTGACACTATCAGAATTTTGAGGAGATGCATGTCTTTCCTTTGTATCTCTTCACTCTCCAGCCAGCCCAAGTAAAAGATACATGGGTCCTTGGGTATCTTGTTGCCTGTTATTGTCATGACTCAGAACAGAGGATCCAGTATTCAGGCAAGACAGATAGTGGGATTACTCAAAAAGTATTTATATACAAACTGGTGCATCAGAGAAGCTGCAGCAAGGGTGTCTGAGGCAGGAAACTAGAGAAAGGAAACACAGGTTTGTGATCACGAATACCTGAAGGAGGATCATCTGAACGCGTAAGTCACTAACCTGGTGTAGAATTCAGTCCGTGGCCAGAGAAAGAGGTGGGTGCCAGCCGCTTGGCTGACAGGTGATTGTAATGAGAAATTAAGCCAGCCATCAGTGCCAAGATCATGACAATTATTTCTTCTTCTCCAGCCTTAAAAACTCGATCCCAGTAGGTCTTCTCTGTAAGGAGCCTTGAGGTGACATACTATGAGTTACAGAAATAAACTGACTTGAATAGTTTTTTTCATACAGAAGAAATGAAAGGATCTAAGTCTTGTAACTTGATTTACTGGCCTAGTGGAGCCCATTTCTACTATCCAGGAGTTAAAAACATCCAACAATCAGCAAATGACACAAAATTCATGAATGAAAGAACACCTAAATTCCAAGCCCAATGCCCTAACCACTAGGGTGCCCCTCCCCAAAGCAGGCATTAACATGAAGGGTCTTCCCTAAGGACCCACACTGGAGCTCCTTCCCTCCAGCTGGGATAGGACGCTTCCAGACGATGACTTGCTACTTCAGCTAGCCAGCCGCTAAACCCTAAGAATGTTTTCACTCATCTTTAAGGTCTATCAAAAATGAAATGCATTCTTAGCTTTAAAACATTTCCTGCAACTTTGTTAAATGAATATAGATGAAAAGAAAGAAATATAGCCTGGCCGTTTGACCGTTTAGTCTATATTAGACATATAAACTAATGTAGATTAATAATGCAGCTCTGACAGCTTCGAAACTTTGCAAGGTTCCGGTCAGGAAGGCGTTTTACGTTTTAGGACAACCTGGATGAGAAAATGTTGACGTGTTTAACATTTAGAGACCCCTCAATAGGCCTAAAATAAGCAGATATGCCGCAAACATGGTTCTTCTTTGGCCAGAGATCATCATAAAAAGACACATGATAGATGGGGTTGTGGATCACTGAATCCCGTGATACCAAATATGTGAAGATCACAGAATATAGTCATTTTTATTACTAAATGAAGTGTGCCGTTTAAATAGTCAGCCAGTAGCTGCAGGGTTTGGCAGCAACAGCTCCACTGAACTGAACTAGCTGCACCATTAAACTAGGGAGTAAAACAGGATGTAAAATAAAACTAATCAAATTTAAAGCTCTGATCTCTAACGTATGACTTAAACTAAAACGTTTTTCAGCAGTGGACTGAAAGCAGCCTCCTCAACCCAATCTAGCAGCGGACACTAGATCTACCAACAGTTTAGGTCAGCCACACCCAACAAACAGAAAAGTCTCTCAGATTGGGCAACTAGTTTTATGAACTTTGGAGTTCATGAAATTAAACTACAAAATGAATCAAAATCTGCAAAAGCCAGAATCATCCTAACAGATTTAAAAAGGCTCCTCAAAAGAGCAGAAAAATAAATCGTCATCAAACAGAGAACCCTACAACCAAACACTGAAGAGCAACAAAACCCCAAAAACTACCTCCACATAATAGAGACAGACGCAGGGAGAGATAAACCAAAACAAGGACCCTCAGAGGTCCCTGCACCACCTCACTAAGATCACAGAAACCTCAACATCCCACCAAACTGGATTTGAAAACTGTTCTCCCAACTATACTGAAGCCAAGATGGCAGAAGCTGGGCGTGCAGGTGTAGCAGTCGTTAGCGCACATGACCCAGATACAGAGGCCTTAGTCCTAGACGCAGGCGACCCGGGTTCCAATCCAACCTGTGGTCCTTTGCTGCATGTCTCTCCCTCTCTCTTATTCCCCCTTTCCTGTCAGCCTGGTGTTGAAAAAACGAGCCACTAGTGATGTAAAAACTCCCAAAAAATAAAAAATAAACTATGGCGTGAGCTTCCATTTAGACTTAGAAAAGCTTTATTGTAATTCTGTATACACACGCATACAAAACGCATACAAAATAAAAATGTTGTTTATACAGCTTTCCAACAGTGAATATTTCTTTTTTTTAGCAGCAGCTTAGCAGTGAAAAAGAACAAACAAGTGCAGCAGTGTTAACAGTTTTTCAGAGACATGGTGCAAAAGGCATTGATGTGAAAGCTTCAGAGCATTGCAGAATTAATAAAAAGATGGGGTGCAAAATGCAGTAAAACACATTTGAGTTGAATTCTATTTTAAAGATTCACCATGTAGCGCATGTTTGGTGTCATCAGTGAGATGCAGAGTCTGTGACAT